GATCAGTTGGAATGATCATTTGGAATGATCATTCAGAGTGACCATGTGAAGCGATCATGTGAGATGATCATGTGAAGCGATCATGTGAAGCGATCATGTGAGATGATCATTTGTGATTATGAAAATATCTAATCACAACACTACATTGGTTAGAAAAATTCTTATACGAATGTTTATTGATTATTTATCAGACTTCTAAATGAATATATATACATTCTCTAATTCACATCCCATGTGTGTATGTAAAAAATAAAAATAATTAATCAATCTCCATATCTGTATTATATTCTAATTCCTCGCCTTCATTTGTCTGTTTTTCACTATGCGATATGGGAACCTTTTTACTCCTTTCTTTAATAATTTTAATTTCATTATCAGTAAATTTTCCAATGGATGAGGGGGTAAAGGATCTAATTCGTTGTATCTTATCTCTGCCTATATCTTCACTATTAAAAATCCTGTAAATATTTAGAGCTGAGCGTTTTTTCTTATTAAAGATATTACGAGTAGTATCGGATGGAAACTAACGTCTAATTTCCTTATTAAGCATAATCTGGGCAGAACAGAGTGGATTTTTAGACTTTAACTCTGCTGACTTATTCTCCAATGCTTTTCCAAGAAGGTAATATGAATCAAGAATTTCATATTTTGTGTGGGTCATCTCACGTGTTTGTTTTTCAAGATTCTTCTCACCTTTAAGAATTTTGTCGTGTAGTTTAGGGAAATCCATTTGTGGAGTTGAGGAATTCTCTACCTTCTCATTTTCTGGATCAGGTAATTGAGTAAATACTATTGACCAAAGGGATAATTCTTTGAGAAACTTTTTCACTTTAAAGTTTTTTTCTTGTGGGTGTAAGACGTCATCATCATCATCGTCAGGATAGATAGATCGATGACAGCGAGGACAATCTGGATTTTCCTTTAGGGAATTGACAATATATTTAAGATGGAAGGTATGAACACAGGTTAATTTCGCAATCAGTTCCAAGTTGGCTCCATTGGGTTTGTATAATGGAACAGAATTATTGCATAAAGAGCATGTTTCAGGAGGCATTTGCGGGGTTATCGATCCAGTGGCTTTGGCGGTATTACCATCATCCGGTGAATTAAGCGTGTCCATATATTGAGATCCAAATATTTCTTCTTCAAGAGTAATTGATACATACTGCGTTTGCGAAGCGGTGGGGTTGGATCTTTCTGTTTCTATGGATATTATTGATTTTTGAGTTGCGATTTTTGAGAGATGGGAAAAATATAAGGGTTTTTATACTCCGTCTGTGAATGCGTAGCTACTTGTGATCGTAGGTATGAAAATGACTAGAATTCACCAGAAGAAAACTGAAATGAATAATATTTTCACAATCTCAGCAAAAACAACTCAATTAAATTGCGTAATAATATACTTTTTATTCGAATAATTTGGTATTAAATCTTTGATTTTATTCTAATAATCATAACTATGATCAAAATAGGTAACCACCGTTTATTCACAGAATCGGAACCAAAATGTTTAGACATATACAGTGTATATTACGTATCACAAACTTGAAAACATCTTACATAAATTCATATATCAATCTGTACATGACATCGCTCTCCTGAGGCTCATTATAACGTGATGTAATTTGCTTCACTTTGTGATATGATCAGATGCATTAATATATGTCAGAGACACACTTGAATAAATGGTTTGAGAATCCGGATCCTATGAGACGCTCTTCGAGTATTTGGACTAAAAATGAATTATATATTCTTATACTATAAAAACCAACTCTAATAGGTCTAACTAAAGATGGCGCGACAACTGTTGCAACGTGGTGACAAATAAAGCATCACCTAGTTGCAACTAGTTGCGGCTTAT